TGGTTGAATTGCTGTGTGACTCGGCCTGACACCAGGAATGACAGCACATGGCTTTGCATTGCAGTCAGTTACCCATATCTGTGCCTTCCCTGCCTGCAGGTATTCAGCAAGTACTATTGATGCCCTGGAAATGATGGATGATGACAAGGTGGACCTTGACCTCATAGCAGCACTGATCAGACACATCGTGCTGGAAGAAGAGGTACACTCCTGTCACCTGCCAGCACACTCTGTAGGAAAAGTTACAGCCTGTAGAGTAGCTATAGAAAACTCTGAAAACCATTTTAGTGCATGCGTAATCTCCATTCCTAGTTCCTTGGCAATGGGAGGGAGAGAGCAAGAGCAATACTCAGAAGTGATGTTCACTGCTACACTAGTAAAATACCAAGTAATTTAATGGTTCAGTTGATAGACCATTTAAACTGTGCATAATGAGGATGACTTGCTGGTTTGGTTTTTGTTCTTCCTGTGCTGAAAATCATACAGTAGTTTCTCTCTGTTTTGTTTGCAGCTCAGATTCTAGTGTTGATTTGGCTGTGTTTAAAGCACTGCAGGGGAAAGTGTTTAAAATCAAATTTTTACTTATTCCATTCAGATAAATTCATGTAGATTTTTCTTTTACAGAAAAATGATAAATGTTTTTCAAAATAGGAGTCAGGGAGGTTTCAGGTCTGACATGTCCAGCATGTGTCAGTGTGCAAGTAGCTGGCTCTCTGCATAGTGTGTGGTTTACTCTGACCTCTCCTCACTTCACTCCCTCTTTTCCTGCAGGATGGTGCAATTCTGGTGTTTCTGCCAGGCTGGGACAACATCAGCACTTTGCATGATCTCCTGATGTCACAAGTCATGTTTAAGTCAGGTAAAACCAAAGTTCTACCTGGGAACTGCAGCAGTAGCATGAGTGGCAGATTCTGGGTTTGCATGGATTGCTGCTATTGCCCTGGATTCATTTTTCCCTCCTCTCAAAGTAATTACAGTGTTCAGCAGTCCTTGGGTTTCTGTGCTATCTTTCATCTGCTAGTGACAACAACTCATTTTCCTCAGTGTGGGAGTGACAGTCTGAGAAACAGCCTGACCTGCATCTTCTTCCTCTTGTCCTTTCCTGTAGCTGTGAGAACTCCCATCCAAAGCTAAACTCCATTCTCTGCATTTCCTCTTTTCTTGATTCCTGAGCAGCTTTGCTGGAAGTTCCCTGAAATCCTGTTTATTTGAGCAGCTTTGTTGTAGGACACTGAAATATCTGTGCCTGTCTGATACTCTTTGACTTGCCTGTTTGCATAGCTCCTATTTCCATCTAACCTGTCCTAGCTGTGCCCTTGACTGCGCAGTTTTGCAGTGTGTGTTGTGTACATTGCAAAGATAATTTTAGTGTGTTAAAAGGTTGAGAGTCAGTTTAGGTATTAAACTTGAGCAATTACTAAATAATTTGAGGATTTAACAATGAAATATAAACTACTGTACATAATTTCATGTATTTGCTTGAACTTGACATTGTAAAAATTATCCTTTATACCTTTTTTGCTTTAGACTTTGCCATTGGGATACAAATACCTGTGAACTCAGAGCAAGAAACAATAGATTTACTTGTAGCCTATTTTCTCTATTCTGCAGAGTTGATTTTCCTGTAAAACTGAAGTTTCTGTGCTTACACCTTATCTTTTGCTGGTTTTTAACTTTCAGATAGGTTTATTATCATACCTTTGCATTCACTGATGCCTACTGTTAACCAGACTCAGGTATGCTGCTCCTTTATTGTAATAATTCACTACAACAACAAAAAATGCCTTGAGCACACGTTGGGCTTTGGCAAACACATAAATGTGCCCTGGCTAATTCCAGGTGTTTAAGAAGACCCCACCAGGAGTAAGGAAAATCGTGATTGCAACCAACATTGCAGAGACCAGGTAAACTCCTGGCTGGACAGGCCAGAGAAGCTCTACTTTTCACTGAGGGAATGAAAGTGCTAATTGAAAGTATGAACCTGTTTAATGTTTCTGTGTTTGTGCCATTCCTATATAACACAGTCTCTAGAAATGTTTATAGACTAAGCAGAGGTTTCCTATAATTGTTTTAAACAATTGAACCCATTAAATTGTTTTGAGCAATTTAACTATAGGAGTCCTAAACAGTTACTATAATGACTTGGCCTTTGTACATGCTATTCTGAGCCGCCTGTCTTGTCTGCATCTTTGTGATCCGTGGGGGCTTCTGCCAGAGCCAGGGGAATAACTCAGCTCTCTTGAACTGCTTAGTAACTGAATTCTTAATGAACCCCCAACACAGATTGGGAGGGGATGAAGAGAGGCCAAACCCAGCCCTAGGTCAGGCTTGCCAAGATGGAAAGTTAAATTTTGTCTCTTTTTCCCGACAGCATCACCATTGATGACGTGGTGTTTGTTATAGACGGGGGCAAGATCAAGGAGACCCACTTTGACACCCAGAACAACATCAGCACCATGGCAGCAGAGTGGGTCAGCAAAGCCAATGCCAAGCAGAGGAAAGGTCGAGCAGGAAGGTGAGAACAATGGGGATGGTTAGGGAAGTTTGGGGATGTGAAGTTTCCATCAGTGTTGGAAGATACCACTTGGTTATTCCCATGTTCAGGAGCAGGTGCTGGCACAGCTGTGTCCTGTCCTGGGGAAGGAATGGTTCCCTTGTCCTTCTAGGAAGCTGAAATGACTTGTGCTGAGTTTAACTTGAGAGTTTGTCTCCTGTTGAAGAATAAGTCCTGCGTTTTATTTTCATTTTTTTGGTCACCATCTGCCTTCACATTTGATTTATGAGGCTGATACATCAAAGGGAAAATTGCCTACAAATTAATATCTCTTAGCTATATATATATATAAAAAATAGATGTTTTTTGACATTTCTCTCCCTCTCAAAATACCTCATGGAATATTTTCTGTCTTGCTCAGACTTAAAGTTCTCCTCTGGCCTCTCCACTGCTCCTTTGAGCAGCTGCTGGGAGGTTTCTGTGTTCTCCATGCTGATGGGTCTGTGTTTCAGAGCCTGAACCGGCTTTTACAATTCACTTCAGTTCTAAATCCTTGAGGTGTTTTGGAAAGGTGTTTGTGAACAAACACAATCATAATGTCACAGTTTAATAGAACAAACTAAAAGCCAAGCAAACCAGTTGTTTATTTACATAACTGCAGAGTTCAGCCAGGTCACTGTTACCACCTGTACAACGGGCTCCGTGCCAGCCTGCTGGATGATTACCAGCTACCAGAGATCCTGAGGACACCTCTGGAAGAACTCTGCTTGCAAATCAAGGTAAACATAAGGATCTTCAAATATAATTATCCACTATTCCACTGGGATATGAGGTTGAGAAGTTAATGCAGCTGTGAACTCAAGATTGTCAACTCAAAGTTCTGTTGCACTCTGAAGTGACATATTTTTAGCCAATAGTTTTATCAGCTTTTGCAAATGGATACTTGTGTCTAGGTGCATCAGCCCAGTGGGAATAGGAGTGTCTGGTGTCAATAAAAGGTGAAGTGTTACAGCAAAACTTGGCTGTGCTTTCCCCCCCCAGATACCATTCAGTTGGAGGAGTTTTGGTGGGAATGCAGTGAGTCAGGGGTGTGATGTCTTAGAAGAATTGTACTACAAAGCAGTTTTAGCACTGATAGGAGTTTCCCTTTTTGGAAGTTTGCATTGAATTCCTCATGCAAGCAGAGGGAGTGCCATGTGAACTGAATGAAGAATAGATCCTTCTGGTTTGAATTTCAGCATTAAGACATTTTCTGTCCTTAGTTAGAGAAATTGTAACTCCAGCTGTGATTACTCACACTGTTTCAGTTAGTGAGGTTTTGCTGGCTGATTTTAGGCACTCATCTTTCTCCAGCTGCTGTAGGGTTTGTTGTGTTTTGCATTTCAGATCCTGAAGCTTGGTGGAATTGCCTATTTTCTGAGCAAACTCATGGACCCACCATCTCGTGATGCTGTGATGTTGGCCATCAATCACCTTATGGAGCTGGTGAAGTATTGCTTCATGTGCAGGGCAAAACCTCTGTAAAACCATGTTACTGTGTGTGTTACCAGACAGTTCTGACTGCACAGATCTGGGCATTGCAACCCCTTACCCAGTGTGCAGAGCCTTGTTCTGTCCTCACTGGACAGAGGGAACGATTTCATATAATCCATGGCATTTGTGCGCTGCACAGAGCAGTTGTGAGGGGCTAAATTACTCAAAACATACACCTGCACCTTGCATTGAAGTTCCCTGCAGACATTGATTTAACTTACTGCTCTGTGCCACCTCAGCTGAGCTTTCCTAGCCCACCTGGGTCACTGAGGAGTTTGAGACCATTTTTCTGTGGGCAAATAAGGGATATGGGAGGAAGGTGTTGTGTGTCATTGTCCTGTGGGTGCTGGGGTAGAAGTTAATGACACACTTAGTTGTACACATCAGTTGTAGCACTAAATTCAAACATCTGAAACAGACACTAGTGGCTGACGCGGCTCTACTGGTGGCTGTTCCAAGGAATCCTCCCCATTTCACACCATGTGTTGACCCTTCCCTGTGTCTCCCTCTCCTGGCAGAATGCTCTGGACAGGCAGGAGGAGCTGACTCCACTGGGTGTCCATCTGGCTCGGCTGCCTGTGGAGCCTCACATCGGGAAGATGATCCTCTTTGGGGCCTTGTTCTGCTGCCTGGACCCTGTGCTTACCATTGCTGCCAGCCTCAGCTTCAAGGACCCTTTTGTCATCCCTCTGGTAAGGTGTCTGATGGGAATTGTACACAAGACTTTCAGAATCTCAGGAATACTGGAACTTAGTGAGATGTTAGGGTTTAAAACCACTTGAATCTTATTTTCATGTGAAATCCATTTTTATTAGTAAGGGTTTGCCTTCATATACTACCAGTTATCTTTGCCTTACTGGAAGTAACTTTCATTTCCATATATGCTGCACACAAAGTGTTGCTGTACCTCAGTTAGGAAGAGAGAATTGTTGTGTCAGACATGGATATTTCATAGGTACTAATTACTTTCAGGGCAAAGAGAAAGTTGCAGATGCAAGAAGAAAAGAGCTGTCAAAGAACACCAAGAGTGACCACCTGACTGTGGTGAATGCCTTCACTGTAAGTATGTTTTCCTGTGGCTTTTTCTTGCAGAATTTTAATAGGAGTACTACAATTGGTCCTAAGGGAAAAGCTGATCCATTTGTGCTCTGTAGTAGTTCTTTCTTGGCTTCTACATAAAGCCAAACTGATTTTCTAGTGTTGAGGAATCTTCTCTCCAAGTCCAGAATCTCATCTCCTCGTCTCCAGGCTCACTACCTGCTTTCTGGTGGATAAGTCTGTGAAAGAGGCAAAGAAAATGTAATGTTATAGTTACCTCTCTGAAGTTGTTAATTCTTGTCCTTCAGGCCTCTATGAGAGGCTGAAGCTGATTTCAGAAGTGCAGGAGATTATTGTGTCATTTTGGGGCAAGGAGAGGAGGAAATACATGATCTTGAATGTGTTGGAACACAGGAGTGCTATAACAAATGATGCTCAGGCAAGCCTAGCTGATTTCACTGTTCACCATGAAAGAGGAACTTAGTGATTCATAGTGTTGTGAAGTTGTGGTTTTCTGCCCTGAGCAAAGGATTTGCTTTCTCTCGTGTAGTGAATGATGTGATTGTATTGTTTATGACCTCCAGTTTTGCTGTCCTTAATTTGTTAGTGTGTGTTCACTTAGAAACACCTTCAAACCTTTGGATTTCCAGGGCTGGGAGGAGACTCGGCGCCGGGGATTCAGGACCGAGAAGGACTATTGCTGGGACTATTTCCTGTCCTCAAACACCCTGCAGGTACCAACATCCTGCCAGGCTAACACAGGGGGCTGTGTCTGTGGGGGAGAGGGGAGAAGCCTTTGGCACAGCAGCATTCCAGGGCAATTTTTGTGTCTCCTAGATGCTGCATAACATGAAGGGGCAATTTGCTGAGCACCTGCTGGCAGCTGGGTTTGTGAGCAGCAGAGACCCCAAGGATCCCAAATCCAACACCAACTCAGGTACCCTGACTAGTTTTTGGCTAGTTCACACTGCTAGACACTGAAGTCTCAGTTTGTGGAAGTGCCTGGCTGACTTTGCTGTTTCCTGCAGACAATGAGAAGCTGCTCAAGGCAGTCATCTGTGCTGGCCTGTATCCCAAAGTGGCAAAGATCCGGCCCAGCTTCAGCAAGAAGAGGAAAATGTGAGAGTTTGGTTTAATGTTGGTTTCTGTTTGAGGTGATTTGTGCAGGAGGTGATTGGGCAAGGAGAAGCAGTGACTGGAGTGCATTAATTAATTTCTCTTTATAGCTCAAGTCATGGTTGTGGCTTTGAGAAGGTGGGTGAGAACATGGGGTTGTTGATCCTTTAGCATTTGGATACTGGCTAGTTTTTGAGATAATCTGTGTGACCTTGTCATGCCGTGAATGATGTGACAATATATCTGTAGCACTGCACTGAAGGTGTCCTACCCTCATCCCTGTTATACAACCAGCCCTTCAAACACTGTCACTTCTGGTTATTGGGGAAGGTAGAGCCCAGAAATCCTGGTCTGTTATCACTTCTTTTATTATCAGACTTTTCTTTCCTTTGAAGGGTGAAAGTTTGCACCAAGACAGATGGATCAGTCAATATTCATCCCAAATCAGTTAATGTGGAAGAAACAGAGTTTCATTACAACTGGCTCGTGTACCACTTGAAGATGAGGACCAGCAGTGTGAGTGAGGGCTGTGTTTGGGTGGTTTGTCTTTGCAGCTCTTGAATTAGGTTGGGTCAGGGCATGAGAACAGTGCCTTTGGCCTGGAGCCTTCCTGTCCTGGGCCATTCCTGTCACACACCATCAGAGCATGTTCTGTGTGATACTGGGGGTGTTGTGCCACAAGGAACTGACTTCTGTGGTGCAGTGGTTGGGTTTTTTTTGAGGACTTGGATTTCTTTAAGGTTCTGGCAATAACAGGAATAAATTGTTTTATCTTAGTTTATTTTTTTCATTTCAATCCAGCCTGGCATCTCTCAGTATGTGCTTTCCTCTCACGGAGCAGTTGCTTTGATTTCACCTCTGTGAGAGGGACTGTATTTGGGACCATTTTTGCTGCTGTTCAATCTGATTTCATGTAACTTTTTGAACTGAGTTGCTTCATCTTGTAAATTGATGAATGACTGAATAATGACCCCCTGGAGTTCTGTGGGAGCCTCATTCAGGGTTACTGATGGCTCTTGAGGTCTTTTGAGGGTGATCAGATGGTTTTGTTGTGCAGATTTACCTGTATGACTGCACAGAGGTGTCTCCATACTGTCTGCTGTTCTTCGGGGGAGATATATCCATCCAGAAGGATAAGGACCAGGAGACCATCGCTGTGGATGAGTGGATTGTGTTCCAGTCTCCAGCAAGAATAGCACACCTGGTGAAGGTGACTATGTTTGGGAATTATGTGCATGGAAGGCTCAGTGTGACACTGTTTCCTCCTTGGGATCTCTGGGGTTGATGTTACTCTCTGCCTATTGATCTGTCACCACAGGGAGATGATGTTTGAAGTGCATTCCCAGCTCTCAGATCAGTGATGTTTGTTGTTCGCAGTGCAATGGCTTTTCCCATGAGCATAGGGCTGTGCCTACTGAGGCATCAGCAGTGTGGTGATGCTCTTGTGCAGCCTCTGCTGGAGCATTCATGGGCATATTGGAGAACTGTAGAAGCTTCAAGAGAAGACTCCTGGGGTAGATTGAAAGGATTTGTAAACAGGTTTTACAGGGGAGATTGGAAGAGCTTAGTGTCTGTGGTTTTCCACAGCAGAAGCTGTAGGATGACTTGATCAGTCCATGGAATGTCCACATGGATATGGAAACTCTTCAGCTAGCAGGAATAACTTCCAGTGGAAGGAGGAGCTGAATGGAGCTCTGTTTAGTATTAGACCCCAGAAATCATATTTGACTTTTTCCTTTCCTTTCCTCTCTTCCCTTTCCTCTTTCCTCTCCTCTTTCCTCTCCTCTTTCCTCTTTCCCCTTTCCTTTCCTCTCCACTTTCTTCTTTCCTTTCCTCTTTCCTCTCCTCTTTCCCATTCTCTTTTCTCAGTATTTTTAATCCTGAAATATGGAAATACAGCTAAGGGCTGTGTGAGCTATTAGAGGCATCACATCCAGAGATGGTCATCTGCCATCAGAGCTAACACTGCCAGTCTTTGGGAGACAGTGATGATGCTGTGAATTGATGTGAGAACAGCAGGTGTAAGGGTCAGGAGAAGAGAGGCCTAAGGCACTGCAACTCCTGTGGTAACATTGTGTGCAGCTCTAATTGTCTCTCTCTTTCCTTCCTTCATGCCAACAAACACTTCCCAGAACTTAAGGCAAGAACTTGATGATCTTCTCCAAGAAAAGATTGAAAACCCCCATCCCGTGGACTGGAATGACATCAAGTGCAGGGACACAGCAGTCCTGACAGCCATCATAGACCTGATCACCACACAGGAGAACGAGGGCGCGCGGAACTTCGCGCCGCGGTTCCAGGGCGAGCGCTGCAGCTGACCCTGCTGCGGTGACCCTGCTGCCTGCAGCTCCTCCCTCCCTGGATGTGGATAGCAGTTCTTTTGGCAGAGGAAAGCCTTTGCCAGGGTAAGCTGGTGCTTTCCTGCCCCTGAGGAGAGGCTCTCAGCGTAGCTGTACGTGCATGTGCTGTGTGTTCGGTGTAGCTCTGCAAGCGAGAGAAGGGCAGTGTTGGGTGATGTTTGGTTGTGTCCTGCTGTTGTAGCTGTTTTCTTTTCTACCCAGAATCTAAAATACTGCTTAGTGATACCTAAACTGTTCTTACTCCTAGGAGAAACATCTCAAAAAGGCCTTTTTTGTTTTAATTGTGGGTGGTGAGTAATTGCACTTGCTGTGTTGTTCCAGCTGTGCAGCACTGCTCACCAACACTTCCAGGGAAGGTAATTACAGCTTAATTAAACTAGACTTGAAAACACTTGTTAAATTTGTGCTGTGGGAGGAAAGAATCTTCAGAAATGTTCTCCTCTCCTGCCTTTCATCCCATTCAATTAATCTCCCTCCTCTTTTTGTTCCCATCCATCATCACTGCTGACTGAGGTGGCAAATGACAGGAAGGATGGGTAGATAAAGGCATGGTGGAATATGCTTTAAGGGTTCATTGCATTCGAATTTTTCCTTTTTTAAAAGAAAAATCCATGTATGGGTTATAATATTACATTAAAAATCTTTTCTTTAAACTGTTATTCCATCTGTTCTTAATGTTTCAAAGGTTTTCTCTTTGGAATGCTCTCCAGCTATGGAAGAACATTTGAATTACAAAGCTTGTTTAGGATTTGGAGGTTTATCCTTGAGCAACAAAGCTCTCGTGTCTCCTTTTCTTTGCCTGGAAATACAACTCTCCTCCCTTCTTTGTTGTTTTGCCTTTGCAAAAATCACCTTGATCAGCAACCTCAAGGAGGATTTACACACTTCACCCTGCAGAAAACAGAGCAGACCAGGTGAAACTTCTTATACAGCAAGAAGTCAAACTCATTGACTGCTTTGCCCACACGTGTTTGAGATAGTGAGGGAGGAGGAGGAGGAGCATCCTGACCCTGGGGGTCACGAAGGGCAGAAGGAAATGGTAAGGAGAGCAGAGCCTGGGGATGAATGGCAATGGTGGTTGAAGAAAGATGGCAGTTGCCTCAAAAACCTGCCCAGGAGCCCCAAATTAGCAGTGATGAGGATCAGCTCTGGTACAAGGACCAACCCCAGACCAAACACTCCCTGAGGGGGCACAGGTTGGTGTGGCTGAGTCTGTACTTAGTGACTAATGTGAAAATCATGATACTGTTTTCTCACTGTGCTCAAGTCATGTAGCTTAACATACTTATGTAAGCAGGAAGGTATCAAACCTCTGTGTTCTTCAGAGATTGGAAATCAGCCTGTGCCAAGTGTCAGGTGTGCTGGATTAGAGGCGATTTTCCTCACTGGGCTGTGTGGTGCTGACTTGGAATCTGTGATGGAAACTGTTGTTTCAGGTATTCCCTCGTTCTTAGCCCAGCTGTGGGGACACAGCAGGGACAGTGGACCCCAAGGTTGTCCCAGGGCATCATGCTCAGGGGATAGAGCAGGCACAGGGAGGAGGAAGGAGGATGTTGGGAGTGATGATGTTTGTCTTCCCAAGTCTCTTATGCAGGGTGGAGCCCTGGGGAGGGCTGGACACCTCCTGCCTTGGGAAGTGGGGAATGAATTCTGTGGTTTGCTTTTGCTCCACTTGTTAAACTCTTTACATCCCAGCCCATGGGTTTTCCCACCTTAACCCTTCGAGTCTCTCCATGCCAGGGTGGGCACTGAGGGCTGCGTGGGGCTGAGCTGCAAACCACGATGGCAGGTTATTGGGCAGCTGCTGAGGTAGTGCTGATAGAAGGTTTTAACTTGCTTTGTCACATGGACAGAGACCAGGAATAGTTCTCTTCCCAGTTTCTAGTGCATTGTTTCCACCTGTGTTGGTTTCTAGCATTTAATGGACCTCTGTGTTATGAAATGAAACAATTCAGTGATGTAGTTAATTCCTCCTAACCTTCATATTTGCCTAAATGATGGAGTTATGATAGAGCTGTTGAAAATCCTTTACAGAATACAGCAGGTAACTCCTCGGCTTTCCTCAGTCTTGGTGTCAGTTTACTCTGGGTTTATTCCCAACACTTGTTTTGCTTCTGTGTGTTACTTTAGAAACTAAATATATGGGGGGAAAACAGCTTGTGTGAACATGTTCTGTAGATCAGAGTTCAGGGTATGCTGTGCTCTCTGAGGAGGTGGAAGTTGACTAAAGTGGTGTTATGTTGTACCTTCTTTTGTTTTTGCAGCAAATTAGCTTTGCATAATGGGAACAAATGTATTGTTTGCCATGGAAGCCAAGAAAGATGCTGTGTCACAGCAGTTACTAGTGCAGCAGATAAAAATGGTCTGTTTATGCTGCAGAAAAAACAGGACTAAACTGTTCCTTAGGTGTGTTGTGAGTGTTTGGGGAGGAGTCAGGTGGGCACAGGAATTGTGAACAACTGTGAACTGTCTTTAGTCACCCTGATTAGAGAAGTCACAGAAGAAAGGGGAACCTGTTCCAGAGGCCCTGCAAAAGGAGAGTTAATTTTGCACCCACACCCTCCCACCTGTAGGCTGGCACTGCAGGGCTCTTTAATTAACAGGGAGATACTAGTGTCAAGTTCATGTGTAATTAAAAAGGAGGTACTAGTGTCAAGTGCACCTCTGATTAAAAAGGCGATACTGGAGTGAAGTGCAGCTCTCATTACTGAGGAGATCCTGGTGTCATGTCCACCTCCTTGGGCAGGAGAGTTGGTGTCTGTGGGTGTCTGTGTTTGTGCAGAGTGCACAGGGGTTAGTGAAAGTGTTGAGGTTTTTGGATCAGTCCCTTGGCACTAGAAGTTCTCATCTTGGAGAAGTCAGTGCTAAAAGTGATTTAATTTTTTTTGGCTAATGAAAATATTGTGGAGCTGGTAGAAAGGAAAAATCCCAACCCAGAACCCCTTAGCTTTTGATAACTTGTTTATATGAACTTTTGGGTAACTTGCTTGTCCTGGTGTCTGATTTTTCACTTAAAATTCTGTCACAGCTCAAACAGGTCTTTAAACTTTCAAAGCCAGGCAGCACTCAGAGCCCTTTGTGTGCCAGCCCAGGTGAGGGATGCACTGTGAGCACTGCCAGTGCTGTGGCAGCATAGAGTGTGACTGTTAATAACTAATGCACCAGGCTGGGCCCAGCATTGCCACTGCCCCAATGCTCTGCAAGTTGTGCTTTGTTTCATCCTTGAGTCATTTTGAATGATTTCCTGCACAGTCACTAATGTATTGGATCCCAGCGTGCTGAGGGGTGTGCTGGGAGAGGCAGCTGAGGGCTCTGGGGTTGTCTGTGGCACAGAAAAGGAGCCTGAGGGGGCACTTGAGTGTGCCCTGGGGAGGGAATGGGGAGAGGGAGGTGCTGAACTCTTCTCCCTGGGATCCTGGGACAGGATGCTTGGGAATAATAGTTCAAAGCTGCAGTTCACACTGGCCAGGAGGAGGCAGTTGGTTACCAAGAGGATGGACAAAGCCTGGAACAGAATTCCCAGAGAGCTGTGAATGCCCAATAGCTACCAGTGCCCTAAAGAACAGGATTGAATACTGGATGTCCAGGTGATTGACACAGGTCCCTTCCAGCTGGAACTGTGCCAAACTCTAGAAAGCAGAGGTGACTGAAGACACTTTTCCCATCCCCGTCTCTCTCCCAGGCTTGTGTGTTATGCCATTGCTCCAATGCCATACAGGTAAACTGGCTCTGTGACAGAGGAAGCAGAACAGAGGCAGGAGCTGTTTATCTTCACAGAACAGGAAGGTTTAAAACACCACAGGTTATAGAACAGCTTTAGTGGCTCTGACCAAATTACATTAACAGCTGGCAGTTCAAGAAATAGCATTAAAGACAGTTCAAAGCCTTTTAAGTAAGGATTTGAAAGCCTTTTATTGATTGTTGTCCTACAAAATCATAGAAGTCTTTAATTCCTGAAGAACTGTGTCCAACAATAGGAAAAAATGAAAAACATCTTTAAAAAACATTTCAGCATTTTTGGAAAAACTAGGTATGAAAAATATATACAGTGTATTAAAAATCTGAATAAAATTAATGCTGGATTTACACATTCAGTTATGTGTTAAACATCTGCCTGTGTACAATAAAATTTGTTAAAATAGTAGCAGTATTTTTACTATGTTAAATAAGTCTTTTCTCAATTTACAGTTTCATTGCTATTTTATCAGTCCACTTATAAATTAATTCACAAGGATGTAGAACCACTGTCATGTCCAGGTAAGTGTTTTTGTACACAGTTATTGCCTTCCTAATAGGAATTGTTAGAGATACACATATTTACACACTCATTCACACCATCCAATCAGCACATCACAGGACATAAAACACCATCCAGCCCTTTGTAGGAGAGGGGAGGCAGCAACAAAGCCTTTGTTCTGCAGGGAGTCCCTCGTGTCTAGTGAGTGTTCTGCCCTGCTGAGGCAGGGCTGGTCCTTGCCCAGTCACACCTCTGTACAGACATTGTGCACTGCAGTGTTCAGCACACAGCAGTCAGTGTTGGCTTTCCCTGTGAGCTCCAGAGCTGAGCTGCGGCAGTGTGTGTAGTGCAATGTGAGAGCCTTCTCCAGGCAGAGAAGAGCTGTGAGGCAGCACCAACCTGAGCTCCTCCCACAGCACAGCCCCAGGGCTGTTCTGTCCCTCTCACCGAGCATCCAGTGACACTGCAGTGTGGAAGGCAAAGGTGAGTCCTGGTGCTGAGCTGTGTGTTCCCACCTCTCCCCTCAGTGATGGTCACCTACACACAGAGAGCAGACCTGGCCCTCTGCAGCACAAGAGTGTAGGTGACACTACAGGTGACCTGGAGTTCAGTTACCTTTCTGCCTCCACAGAAGGAAATGTTCAATCTCCTGTAGCACTGAAGTGCAGAAACCTCCCCAAAGCGCAGAGCAAAGCACTTGATGTTTCTGCAGTCCACCAAACCCCTGCTCTGAAGCACTAAGGGAATCCTCACGGCATAGTTAAACACCAGGAAACCAGCAGCAAATGGGCCTCAGTTCCAGCAGTTAAAATACCTGTGCTAAAATGGATCAGCAGCACACATTTTGCAGAGGTTGGTACCTCTTCCTTGTTTTCAGGAGTCCTTTCACCTGGAACTAGGAGGAGGCAGGCTGAGGTGCCCCAGTGTTGGAGACACAGCTCTGGAGTCCTCCTGGAGCTTCCACCAGCTTTGCTTGTGCTGAGGCCCAGGACATCCCTGGATTTGCAGTGGAGAGGTAGGTCAGCCTTTATGGAGGACAGGGCAGGTTGTCACAGTTCAGATTCCACACAGGTTCAGACACACATGGGAAGGATCCCATGAACATACTGGCTGGAACTGGGACTGTGCCAGTGCAGCTCCTTAGGAGCAGGACAGCCCTAGCACAGCTCTTCACATCCAGTTCAATGGATGGGACCAGTGTCCAGGGTCCATCTCCTACCAGAGTTCTCTGGTGAGTCAGTTCAGATGCTCAAGAGGAAGAGGTGGAGGCACTGAAGTGTCAGTCACAAGGCTGCACAGCTGGGCTCAGTGCCCAGGACACAGCTGTGGGGTGCAATCTGCCCCAGTCAGGCCAGGGCTGAGTGTGGAGCCATCGAAACACAAACTGCAGAGGGATCACAAGTCTCCAGCCCGGAGTGCTCTGTCACACTGTGTCTGCCGTGGGTGCCCCACTTCCCACAGGAGCCAAGAGCCACTGGGGCACAGCCCTGGAGCACCAGGACAGGCTACACGTTGGTCTCCAGCCCCAGCAGGCGCCCCATGCGCTCCATGTTGCGGTCGATGGTGGCACGACAGGTGATCTCCCGGGCACACTCTGCAGGGAACCAGCCCCGAGCGCCGTCACGCAGCCTCTGCCCCTCACACCAGCCTGTGGGACAGGACAGCACTGAGACCCACACAGCTCCCAGGGCAGGACAGCACTGAGACCCACACAGTTCCCAGGGTGGGACAGGACAGCACTGAGACCCACACAGCTCCCAGGGCTCAGCCTGAGCTGCCTGTGCTGCACTGCCTCACACAGCTCACAGTCACACACGTTTTGCACCTGCCTTTGCAGTGGCTGAAGCAGCACATTAGGATAGATTTGGCACATTGTTTTAGACAGGCAGAGTAGGAACAAAACTGTGTAGCACTTACTTCTTACATACTATTTCACTAGGAACAAAACTGTGCAGCACTTACTTCTTACATACTATTTCACTAGGAACAAAACTGTGCAGCACTTACTTCTTACATACTATTTCAGGGCTCACACTCTGCAGCAGTTGATGGCACTTTGCTCAGCTGCTGCCCACCCAGAGCCTGTTTCTTTAGACATCTGAACACAAATGCACATGCTACTGGGAGACAATATTTTCTGTCTGTCCCTGCAGAGGTGACAGATGGTTATTACCAACAGCCCAATCCTCACTCACCATCACTGACTTTGTGGTAAACCAGAACCACATCAGCCACCTGGAGGGAGAGCTCATCCGTCTGCTTTGCTGTGTATGTCCTGATGATCTCCACCTGTGCCAGGGCTGGGGAGGGAGCAGGAGCAGTGAGCACAGAGCAGTGAGCACAGAGCAGCTCTGCTTAATGCACACATTCCATCTACTGTAAAAACTTCCAGTTTAGAGTATACAGAATGTTAAGGGTTGGGATAGGGCTGTTTGGCAGTACCAGGATGGGCCTGGAGATGCTCCAGAGGTTTGGGAGGTGCTTTGTATCTTCCCCCAGCTCTGAGGGTAGTTCCAGCCCAGCCCCAGCCCTGCTGAGGGCAGTGTTTTGCTGCTCTCCTGGCACAGCACAACTCCCACCAGCTGTGACTTACTGGTGCTGCTGGTGCCGTGTCCATCGCTGTCCTGGCTCAGCGCTGTGATCCACCGAGCTCTGTCACTCCTGCAAGCACCAAGGCACAGCTCAGGTTCTTGGTAACAGCACTGAAACTCCCCTTCCTGCTTCCAGTGCCAACAGGTACCTCATCAGCCCCTGGGTGCACTTTGTGCCTTATTCACAGGGTGCTACAGAGTTCTGACCCAACACTGGTAGTTGTGTCCTTGGGATCCACATGCCACAAGAAGTGACAAAACAGGAGTAACTGTGCTGGAAATCTGTGTCAGATGAAACATTTCAGTTTTACCTGCACAAAACTCTATTCCATTAGCACTGACCCATCCAGCCTGACCCTTCCCATCCTTCCCAAAGTACACAGTAAGACTATAAAAACCAGGGAATTTTCAAATACAGGAATTCTCTTCACTCATCCTCAGAGTGATGATCTGCTGCACAGCTATTTATACTGCAAACAGCACAGCCCAAATCCATAATAATTGTGCAGAACAAAATGTCTTTCACACACAGCCCAGACAGCTAAACATGTCCTGCACTTCCCCACTGACATCCCATGTCCAGCCAGGGCTGAATCATCTGCTGCCTCCAGAACGAGGTCTTGAACAGACAGCATTGATGAGCCTCAGTTCCTTTGGGGTTATTCTAAACTCTGAAAGCAAACTCAAAATTGTCAGTTTTTCCAGGCAGAGCTATGTCTGGAGCTCTCCTTTTCATGTGTCCTGTCCTGCTCCAGCTTCCCCCAGAACAGACAAACTCTTTCAGTGCTGGGAGGTCGTGTGGAAGCTAAGGGCACTCAGTGCCCCTCGGCCATGGCACCCACACAACAAGCACTTGTTGCTGCTTTCCAAAGCAGAACACTCCTCACTGCCTGGGGAGAACAAGGACCATGTCTGTCCCAGCACAGCTCCATGGCTTCCCCAGGGCAGTGCCAGGCTGTTCCTCCCATCAGCCCAGCACTGCTGCACCATGCAGCCATCACCACCAACCACCACAGCTCCCTGCTCCAGGGCCGGAGCAGTCACACCCCAACAGCACCACTGGGCCTTGGGATGGACCTGTCCCTGTGTCCTGCTGCCAGTGCTGTGCTGCACCCGCTCATGGTGTGACACCCACCACTGCCAGCACTTAAACCCCAATCCCCTTCCACTCCCTGCCATGGGCAGGAACACCTTCCACTAGCCCAGGTTGCTCCAAGTCCCATCCAGCCTGGCCTGGAACACTCCCAGGGATGGAGCACCCACAGCTGCTCTGGGCAACAAAGGTCAGGTGTCCTGGCCTCAGTGCACAGGTAGTTTGGTAGAGAAGAATTGAACATGCTCTACTCATGCTACAACAAAACTCAGTGGTGATGCAGATCCCTAAGTGGCATTTGTAGTTAAAATTAACTATCTATCTATCTATCTATATAAATACAACCTTAGCTGGGGCAGGAGGATCAGCCTGTTGAGACAATCAAATGAAAAAAAAAAAAAAAAAAAAATCACTTATTTTAAGTCTGTACTCACTGAGTCTCTGCTCCCAGGAGCATGTGCACCCTGTCCCCCGCGTGGTTGCTGAGCACCAGCAGCCTGAAGAGGTGATGTGCTGCGGAGCTCTGGCGTGAGGAGAGCACTGCTGGGCTGTTCTTCCCGGGGGAGGAGGAGGGATCCTCCCCCTCACACTGCAGCACCACCAGCTGCTGCCGCAGGGAGTAGTCCGTGACGTTGTAACTCTCCTCACTGCGGGGCAGAGGGGAAGAAAAAACCCCAAGGTTAACATTAGTATGTCTGGAAGCAAACACAGTCCACACTTAAGTCCATGGCACAGCATGGTTCTTCTGACACCTCCCATCTCCAGACACAGGCAATTATCTTCTGCCAGTGTGTTTGGTGTAACAACAAAACTCTTGTTTCAAGCTTCAAGTGTTTTCACTTCTGTGCTGGTAATTAAATACTGAAATGTCTTTTTTTTTTTTTTTGCAGAAGAGCTTTGTACACTCTCAAACAATTGACACAACATGACAGTAACGGGACCTATCCTGCTCTGCTGCTCTGAACCAGTGACAGGTGGGGTGGGTTGGTTGAATTTGGGGTTTTGAGCAGATTAAGTTTGGGTTTGTTTGGGTGGATTTGGGTTTTTTGTATCTCTTTTAAATAAGTCAGTTTGGTGTTTTAGTCTGGACAGCTCCTTAGGCAAGGACAGAACTGGCAATCCCAGCTGGGAATCCTGACATGCCATGGTTACCTGGGAATCTTGCATCTGAAGCAGAGATGTGTCCATAACTTGTGTGATGAATAATAAATGCATTTCTCACTATCAACTAGTCTGTGCATGTACATAGCTAATCATGGCTGCATTTCTTACTAATTAATCAACAGAGATAAACCTCTACAAATCCCTACCCCATCCCACAAACCAGTTGGGTCAGAGCAGGGCAGCCTCAGCCTTTGCTCCTGTGCCTCTGGTGCCCACACTGCATTGTGCTGCCTTTGGTGAGGGAATCCACTGGCACATGGACACAAACCACAGGATTGCAGGCACCTACAAACAGGAACATTCCCAGGCAGCACTGACCCCTGGACAGGTAAACATTCCCAAATAGCACTGACCCTTTGTTAGGGAACATTCCCAAGCAGCACTGACCCTTTGGGTCGTTCCCAGTGTTTGAAGTCCAGCTGCATTCCACTGCCAGGCTCCCCCTGGAGCTGACAGCTGGAGAGCCATTAACCAAGCAATTCCTGGGGTATCCTCAGGGGATTATGGCAAACAGACTATTCAATAAATGTACACTCCTTCAAAAATACCAGGGTCTCTGGAGCTCTCCTGGAAGCACTTGGTATGTACCAGAGGCTCTGACAGGTGGCTGAGGAGCTCTTCAGCTACACATAAACTTCTATCAATCCTGAAGCTGTGCAGAACTCTCACTAACTGAATCCAGGACCAACTCCTCGTGGTGCCAGGAAGGCATTGGAATAAAGGAACGTGTCTAACACCCTGCTTGGGGAATGGAAAAGGGGGAAAACTGAAAACTCATGCTGGAGGGAATCCACACCCCTTGTAAAAGCAGTAAGTGCATTTCAACTACTCTGTAATTCCATAAAGCAATGATTTCCTTACACCCTTCACCTCATGCCCTAATCCAACCCGCAACCATGTTCACAGGAACAAGGCTGAACTGACCCTTCCTGTGTACCAGGCAGATCCCAACTGGCTTTCCAGACATCCCAACACTTGCCAGCGCTGGCTGCTCCTGTCAGGATACTGCATTAACCCCTTACACCTATTAAGCCTTTTTAAATTGCTATTTAAAAGCAATCTGACAGTCTGCACAGCAGAAAGGGCTGTGAGCACAACTGGCAGGAAAAACATTCCAAATAAGCTCAAAGCTGGGCAATGTGGAAAAGCAGATTCTTATCCCTCTCCAGAGCCTTGTGTCCAGTGACACATCCCAAGTCCTTGTGTCCCTCCTGGTACAATGCCAGGGACCATCCCAGAGACTCAGGAGCCCTTTGCCTCACTCCTGCCTGGCTGCAGGGTCAGAGCCCGAGTTACTGAGCAGTTGCACACACAGCCCTGGCAGGCACCACACACCTGAGCCAGGATGGAGCCTCTCCACACACACACACTTGTGGCAGTTGCTGGGCTGGGGCTGTGCTCATGAGCTTTGGGTGAAGAGCAAACTACAGCACGCAGTGATGTCTATTTTTAGCACACAGTGAGGAGTGATGCTTTACTGCAATGCTAAGAATCTTCTGAAATGCAACTGCTCAAGGAAAAACACAAACATTTAACCTCAACTAGCAACAAATATTTCTGTCCACTGCTGTGGCCCCATGGCAACACTGTGGGTGGGAGAAGAGATCACCAAAGCCCACACTCTTTAAAGCTGCTTCACTTGGGCAGTGTGCGCTTCACTCTCAGGGCATGGGGAGTCACAGCAATTAGTGCTGCTCAATCACATCTGATTGATTTGGGATCCCTGGGACAGTGACTGTGTGAATGTGATCACTAGCATGAAGGGTTCTCTCATTGGCTTCTGGGCCCACGTGGGACATTTCCATCCCAACAGCTGGAAGCTGTTACAAATCCAGAGCCCAAGTTTGGATCAGGGATGCTGTTACACAGATCTGGTATGTGATCAGGACAGTGGGTGAGGGCACGGGGATCAACACACAGGGTAACAACAGGGATCTGAGATCTGTCACTGCTTTCCCAACTCCACCACTGCCTTTGCTGCCAGAGGTGACAGTGTCAGCAGCCCCACGAGAACAGAACTGTCCCATTTAACAGTGTGACCAGCTCTGCCAAGAGCTGTCAGGGAGGTACAAGGGTCTGTCACAAACATCCTGCACAGGCTTTGATAAACACCAAATCTCAGACACCTCCACACCAGCACCACAGCCAGGGAGAAATCCAGGCACAAAAACTTTGTAAAAAACCTTCACTTAGATAATTCTTCCCCTTCATTTTGCTTTCTCCTCTGCTTAACTATTCATACTTTCTTCCCAAATTTTATATCATACCCCATTCCTCAAAATGTATTTAAATCATGGATTTGAGATTTCATAGAAGGGTGTCAAACATCACTGGTGTTTGCCTGAACTGGCCAAGACAGATGCAAAAGTAGTTGTTCTTCAGAACAGTTTGCAGCCTCAGGAATAAGGTTTCTCTCTCAAGTATTCCCCAATAGAAACAGCAGAGAATATTCAATTCAGCTAATCCAAACCTCCCCTCAAATCTCGTGATCACAATGTAGATGGTCACTGCTGGACTCATACCACATCCACCATGCACAAAACCCACCCAACCGTGGGGAGAGTCGAGGGGAATGGACATTCCT